GGATTTAAAAATAGTTACGCAAAACAGAGCGTGCCCGCTCTGACCGGTTTTAAAGGGTTAATGAGATTGCGCGATGATAGCCTGATCTGCGCTTACTGGCCCACCAGACTGCACTCAACCCAAATTGTTAGCTGACAATCCAACTTGATTCTTTTTCTGATGGAAAATCTGGAGTTTTTCTGCTCCACTGTTGTCAAGTTCAATCTTAAAAGAAGATTGTTGGATATCTCTATATCAGGGGTCTCGAACTCCAGGCCTCAAGAGCCGGTGTCCTGCAGGTTTTAGATGTGTCCTTGATCCAACACAGCTAATTTAAATGGCTAAATTAGCTCCTCAACATGTCTTGAAGTTCTCCAGAGGCCTGGTAATGAACTAATCATTTGATTCAGGTGTGGTGACCCAGGGTGAGATCTAAAACCTGCAGGACACCGGCTCTCGAGGACTAACGTTCCCTACCCCTGCTCTACATAATAAACTGCCTGGCCAAAAACCCCCAAAGTCTAATGCTAATATGTCATTGAACCGCATTTAGCTTTAGCTTTGATCAGAATTAGAATCACTTTGTAAAAAAACAAGGAATCTGTGATAGTGTCGCGCAAAAAAAACAAAAACAAACAGTAATGCAGATATAGAATGTATGATATTTACAGCACATAGAATTATACGTCTCTATATAAATATTAAAAATAAATACACAGACTACCCACAGATATAGAGATGACAGCGCGTATTCACTCTGGCATCATTTTAATAAAGCCATGCAGTGTCACAATATCTATTTCCATCCAGAACCGTGTATTGATGATGGGAGATTTGGATTTCTGTTTAAAGTATTCTCCATCACATCCCAAAGACGCTCCGTGGGGTTAAAGTCTGGTCTCTTTGGTGACCAATCCATGTGTGAAAATCCATGCATTTTCACAGTTGGAATCCCATGAATCCTGGCATTATAATCTTGGAATAGGCCCATGTAGTTTATCACATGGAAAAATCCATTGAAATACCTGCTCGTTCAGTATATTCAGGGAGTCAGCTGACCTTCTGGACACTTAAAACTGCTGTACCTAGACCCGACCAACTGAAGCAACCCTAGCTATTAATGCTGACCTAACAGGCTTGTCTGGTAGACACTATACATGATGAATGCATCACTACATCTACCTCTCTTATTACCTTGATGCACCCATCAGTCTGGAACAGGGTAAACCTGAAGTCAGACCACATGACCCTTTTCCATTGCTGAACCCAATCTTTTTATTCTCTAGCAAATTGAAGCCTTTTTTTCTGATTAGCTCTGGTAAGCGGTTTTCCTAGGGCTGCTAGTGCATATCCCTTGAATTCTCTTCGTATTATGCATGTGGAATTGCAATTACTTTTGCTATTAAATATAGCCGTGAGATGTACCGTTAATCTTTATTTGAGTTCACCAAACGTCTAAGTGACCACGATCGTTCAAGGTTTTTTTCCAACCACGTCTCTTCCTTGGATTATAGTTGGTTTTAATAATGCATTGGACAGTTCTCAGCCCACTTTTAGTAGTTTCAGCAATATCCTTAGTTGTTTTTCTTGTCTTCTTGAAACAAAGTAACATCTTTTCCATGACCACAGGAAACATCCTCCAAAATGGTTGTTTAAGAAATGAGAAGCTACTCACTGCATTGGTCCAAGTAAAAAACAAAACAAAAAACTGTTGCCAGAAACGCATTATTCACTGCAGTAACTATCCAGTAGAAGGCAGGCAGTATATTGTTAAAGCCTTTTTAAAGTAAAGTCCCCCAAAATGAGTCATTTGGCACCAAATATTCATTCATACTAGTTTTAAACAGTTTTTCAGTGAAGACTGACTGATAAGAACTGAACACTTTTATATCTACCGCTTCCATCGCATAACAGCAAAGCCCAAATGAACTTTTAGTTATTTAGTAGTATAATTGAGCAGGCACCTTTATTGTTATACCATCATAAACAGAAATGAGAAACAATACTTTCTAAATTAAAAAATCTGCCTCATGTGTTGGCAAATGACCCCATTTTTGCTGTTTGTATAAAAAGGATGAAACGTTTGTTTTCCACGTGCGCACACGTAAACAACAGATTTCGTCCCTTTCTTGCCAGTGATAACTGGGTATACCTCATTATGCAGCAATGTTTCACAGTTTAACACCCTCTGCCTCAGGTGTTGATGTGTTTATTGAAGTGATTCACAAACTATACATTAGTAATGAACAGATGATTCACAGATTATACATAATTTAAAGATTTCTTGGAATGAATATGTTGATGTCCTGCTCCGCTCTGGGTTACGTAAGTTCAAGCGAAAACTATGCTCACAGAGTGTACGCTAAATCTGCACTCTGGATGCGTTATCCTTCTTCGTGAACTGAAACACACGGGCGCACACACAAATGCACATTTATTTCCATTGGGAGTTAGTGAAGCTCATTACAGACTCAGTAAGGGCCTCTACGCGGCTGCAACAGTAGCCAAGTTCATTATGTTAAACTCTTTTGGTAATTTTCAGAGGAAATTATGTTCTATTTTTGTCTGTGGCTCCTTACATGTTTGCGACAGGCAAAAATGGGGCAGGTGTTTTGCATTAAAAGCTTGGTTTAAAGACCTTATTTAACACATGCGCAGTATGAATGCACGTACACACACATAAACACACACACACTTCTGAGAACTTGGGGAAAATAAAACACAGCACACACCAACATCACCAGGTATGCACCAACTAGCACACACAGATGTTTGCAAATGATTTATTACCCACCTTCCACCACTCCTCATTAGAGTCGTCAGTGACCTGCACCCGATCACCAGGTCTAAAAGAGATAAGACAAGAGAGAAGATGGGAAAAAAGGGCATGAGAAGGGAGGTAATTGGGGTGGAGAGGAAAAAGAGACAGGGGGAGACAATAGAGGGAAACATGATGGGAAAGGCAACGGAGTAGAGGGGAAGAAAGGAGAGCTGATTGCAAGCACTAAATATTACAGTTATCTAACTGCCACAGAAAGCTGTAGTGTACCCGTGGTAGCAACATTGTGGAGGTTAAAATGTGGGTGAGTCTTTGTGTCTCGCTGTAGAGGTGACAGAACAGCTGAAAACAAAGTCATGAGGTCTACATGAAATATAACTCCATAGTGTCTGCTGCAGCAATGAAGGCTAGGCCTGATCTGCAGCCAGCCTGGCCTGCATACTAATGATGCTACCAATTTTTGATGAGACTTCTCTACACGTACACAGTATGCCCGCTGTCCTAGATATACAGGGAGAAGCTGTCCCAATTGCATTTCTGTGCGTTCTGTCTCCCTGATGTCTGCATTCACAGCTGCCCTATATGATCATGGTATACACACACACTCACACACACACACACACACACACTACCATGTGAGTCATATTTCTTAGGTGACTGGTACAATTCTGCTCATGCAGCATCTCAAATGAGCGCAAATGCATCCTTTATAAAGGTTTTCAGTGCCCAAACGTTTTTATATATCCTATATTGTGTATCTAACTAAGCATTTATATCTATATTGTATATTTCTAACAGTAGAATTAGCAGTTTCCTGGTAGTAATAGATAGTGGATAGTGGTTCTAACTTAACAATGCTAGTATTTTTATACCTTTACTGTTGCTATTTCAATTTTTAAATATTATATTTTACATGTACAATATTTCCTGACAATATGGAGGGCATCAAAAAGAGCAGATAGGTTTCTTTGTAAAAATCCTCACAATGCCTAGTGGTGAGATTAGCTGCTATTCAGTCTCAAAGAAATCTATGAAAAAAGCTACTCAGAGATGAAACGCAAGCCACTACATATGTATTATCATTGTAATAAGTACAAATGTTATCTAAATTCCATCCATTTCTGTCCATCTTTTCATTTTCTTTCAACCTCTCCCGTGAGAAGATGGCACAGTGGGTCATCTGCCTCCATCTCTCCATCACTACAACCATAAACCTTCTCTGTAGTCTTCCTCTTTCCCTCCTGCCCAACAGCTCCATATTCAAAATCCTTGGTCCAATATAACCAATATGCTGTTTTTCTTCTCTGTTCAAACCCTCTCAACCTTGTCTCCAAACTGCTCAACCTGAGCGTTCCCTCTGATATACCCTCTGATATATTTTCCCTCCATACAGTCCAAACAAAAATGTTATCTTCAACTTTGCCACCTACAGCTCTTTTTCCTCTCTCTCAAAACTATACATCACAACAGGTTCACTCTTGCTGCTATCTGTCTGTCACATATCACTCCTGACACTCGTCTACACCCACTCCCGCTTCTTGAACTCTCTTTTTCACCCCTCTTGTCCACTGTCCATGACTTTGGATGGTTAACTCTAGGTATTTAAACTCATCCACCTTCACTACTTCCCTCTAATTCACACAGATATTCTGTCTTCCTTATCTCCGGATCACACCTCTACCTCTCTACCTCTGTCTTTCTCCTCCTCCCTACTCTTACTACAGATCACAATGTCATCTGTGAACATCATAATCCGTGGAGACTACTGTCTGACCTCATCTGTCTTAACCACTTATCCTAAAATGATTGAAACCAGCTGGGGTGGAGCACATCCTGGCTGAAAGCGGGAAAGTGGCGGGGTACATCATGGACAGGTTGTCAGTCCTTACAAATCAAATCCAAATAAATGTAAATCCCCCCAAACCCACTCATTCTCACACTCTCTGTGTGTTTGTGAGCCATTATAGTCAAACCACCCATACTCATCATCACTACAAATATAATACACACTGATTAGATAACTGAGATTCTGCCCACATAAAAATCATATTTTTTTAGGTCATTAAACTATCAAATTTCTGATAATAATTTTTGCAGAATTCATATCCATGTACTGGTTTGTTAAAATCGACCTGTCCGGAATATGGTACATGTTTTGACTTCTGCCATCCACAATGGTCTGATCTTACTTTCTTGTATTTGGGCTTTAACTTTGACAACAGCGCTCAGCTTTCTCCATCTGTTTTCTCTCTTTCTCTCTCTGATAATCTTCCGCTCTATGCCATTTCCTCTCATGCATGTCCTCCCTTTCATCTCTCAGTTGTTCAGTGTCTTTATCCCCTTCCCTGCTGGGAACACAGCTCAGTCACTAGTTCTGCGTGGGGACAGTGATGGGCTTTGAGTTTATAATTAGTCGTCCTGAAGGGCGCCCTGGCACCGTCCTTTGCAGATGGTGGGGACATTTTCATCCTGCAGGAACAACAGCCGGGGCAAAACACGAACAAAAACCGACCACATTTGCACACGCAATGCTAAAAAAAAGCAATTGCACACAAGCACTCCTGGACATGCACACGCATATAGCTATAAAAATCCTTGCACATAGTCAGGTTGTTTTGCTTTTACTCACTGTAGTTCCAGGTCATTTGGTTCCTGAGGCAGAAACTTGTAGAGCGCTACATAGGTGTGGATAGAGTGGACTTCAATGCGCTTGGGCACCTGGTTACAGGGAGATGCAGGAAGGGGAGGCAGTGAGACAGAAATACACGCTTGAGGAATAGAGCAACAAGGGATGAAAGTATGTACAGGTGGATTAAACAGAGCGGTACCTTCTCCTCTGCAGTCTGAGTTTGTTCGCTGCTCTCGTCTACCTCCTTTTCGATCTCTGGCTCGGGGATAGGATCATCTGGAATCAGCGAGAAAATGTCTTAAAAGTCGATAATCACACACATAAGCACTCATTTTATTGTTTTGGTTTTTGTTTTTTACAAGCAGCCACAGTAATTCTCTCTCACGCACAGAAAGTTATGCGCGACACAACATCTGCATAGACACACATAGGCAAGGGCATGCAGCACATGTGCATATCCACATACATCAAGGCACAGACACAGAGACGTCTTTACCCCCTGTCTCCTGAGTTAATTCTTCCTCCATGCTGGACTGTCTCTGTTGCCTCTCCTCTCCTCCCTCCCCCTCAAATAAGAACATAGAGAGAAAGCAATGAAATATCAGCACCAGGAGGCCAGAGAGGATGCATTTGACAGTGGGTGACCTTGTTGTCAGTCAGTATGCTGGAAGTTCATGTATTCAACGGGTTTCAGAGATACCTGCGGTTCGCAAAATGTGAACATTTTACATTTTAGCAAGCATGCACATTCTTTTCAGTGGAGAAGTTAGATGTGAAGCTTTCTATCAGTCTCAAACGTGTTTAAACAGACAACATTTTTGCAACATTTTGGTGAGGCGAGGTGTTTGGGCCAATGTTGAGCAGCAGTAAACATCTCTTGGCTGTTGCTGCTTATAAGCTGTACACAGATCAGTCTCAAATATTTGTAGCTGAACTGTTACTTTCCGATATCGCAACATTTATTCAGGGTTTACAATTTTGATTTAGATGGCTTGCAGCTGTTTTTCAGAGGATTCGGAGAGCTTTTTGAATTAGTCTCCATGTTTATATTATGACTAAAAGAGGTAGCTAAGAAGACAAGAATATTGTTATGTTAAAGATTTTCTTCCAATTTAATGGCTGTTCTGATAATACCTAATAAATCTGAATCTAAAGCATTTGTAAATGTATTAACTCTTAATAATTCAATAAAAAACAATATGCACCCTTTACAAAATATGACTTAACAAGGCAATGTCACTGTCAGTTCTCTTAATATAATAAGTAAGTTGGCTAACGGACCAGTGTCGTTTATTGTGTCAAACACACGGGACTGAACTGTCCTCTACCCCCACCCACAGGCCTATGATGTCATACCAAGCTGCGCGTTGGTGATTCTGACAAACTGCCAAAACTGGAGCGACTCATCTGTGCCAAGGACGTCCCGTAGCGCAAGGCGGCATACACAGGGTCTACTCGCATCCGCGGCGCCTCTGAAACCACACACAGACACGTAAATTATTCACTAAAAGACTTCGGACACACTACAATCAGGGCTACACGCTGAGATTACACTGTACATCATGACTATTGTGCCTGTGCCAATCTGGAGGAACCAAGGGGTTTAAATATAACTGCTGTAACAGTCAGTCCTGAACCAAAGTGGCCTACTTTAGATCTGCGAGGACAGCAGCCAAAAATTCAAAAGAAAATGAAGACATTCCAATGAATTAACATGCTTTGATTTATTTAACTTAGTGGCAAGAGATGTGTCTTAGTTTAATAGCTTTAACAGATGCGAAACTGTAGAAAGAGTAGAAAGGGAATAAGAGACGAAATATAAAATATGGAAATCTTCTGAAAGTCTTCGCTGCTGCATTTCATGTAGACAGCAGTGCTTGGGTGCTATCACACTATTTCTGAAGTTTGGAATTAGATTTTTCAGCTCTTTCCCCATCCAGCTCAACGGAAGAAGGGTAGAGGGATTTTGCTGCAGGGCCAGATGTGTCTCAGTGTGCGTGTGCCTGTGCAGGATGAAGTTGAAATCACCTGTAGTTTCATACTAAAGTCATTTCTTCTGTATACAGAAGAAATTGTGCAGCAATGTGTTATTTAGTATGATTAAGTCAGGTATTTAGAGTCGATAAAGCTCATTACACTGACTGAAGACGGTATTTCTGCAGAGAGAAGTTAATTGCAGATGAGTAAATGATGGGATGGGAAGCCAAGCTTAGAGACTCTACACTCCACTGCTCGATATAAATAATTATTATTATTTTTAGATCCTTAAGGTTCCTTTTGAGCCTGGAAGGAGAGTTTTTGTGTAAAGTAGCTTCAGGTCTGTTTTTATTATCCATCCATCCATTCGCTTCCGCTTATCCTTTTCAGGGTCGCGGGGGGCGCTGGAGCCTATCCCAGCTGTCACAGGGCGAGAGGCAGGGTACACCCTGGACAGGTCGCCAGTCTGTCGCAGGGCCAACACACAGGGACAGACAACCATTCGCACTCACATTCACTCGCACATTCACACCTAGTGGCAATTTGGATTTTCCAATTAACCTATTCCCACAAACTGCATGTCTTTGGACGGTGGGAGGAAGCCGGAGTACCCGGAGAGAACCCACGCAAACACGGGGAGAACATGCAAACTCCACACAGAAAGACCCCGGCCTGATGGTGGAATTGAACTCAGGACCTTCTTGCTGTGCGGCAACAGTGCTAACCACCGTGCCACCGTGCTGCTGTTTTTATTATAATGTTGTTAATTATCAGTTAACTGATAACATTCTGACCCGAGAATATCATCAGTATCAAGTTCTCTTTGGCAGATTTAACCTTAACGTTTAAACAGAGAAATCCTTTTCACATTCATCACATATGAATCATCACTGCAAGACTGCAACGAGACCGTTAAGTTCCCGCAACTACCAGACTCATAAATGAGGTTTAATACGAGAACAGTAAATTGTGGCCAGGAGGTACTTGATGGGAAATTAAGGGGGTCTGTGAGTAAATACAAAATGAAAACTGTTGTCTGATATGAATGTGTGTAAACATTTTTACCAAGCCTTTTGTTAGCATAATTATGAGCACACTGTGTAATGTGTGATTGTGAGCTTGGCAGGTTGCACTCTCAGCTGGCCCTGGCAAAGTCCCAGGCATCATGGTGCTGAGCTCGAGGTGATGATGGAGTTGTAGGTTCATTGTACCCTGACTCATGAGTACTACAAGCAAGTGACAGCGTGGGGCGCCGACCCTGATGTGAGTCATGCATTACGGCAGATGACCGTGTCACGTTCAAAGGTGTTCTTCCAAAGGTATGACAAAGAAAAATGAAGCTGCATTTCAGCGGTGACAATAAAAGAAAGAACAAATTTAAGCACTTTGGTCCAGTGGTTGTAAAAGCAACTCGTACCACTATGATTTGGCCTTGAGCGGACAAACACTGACCTGAAAACTGATTAAAAATATAATTTTCTTTGAAATTTATTCCCAGCATTTGCTGAATGAAATAAGGTGGATGTTCGTGAATTTGGGGTTACTATCAATCAAAAAAGTGGGCAGCATTTCAATGTTTATGAATTTTTAAACATGCAACTGTGGTGCCTATCTATCCTCTTCACCAGTCCAAGGATATACAGCACAACTCATAAACAGAGATATAAAAGCATAAACATTAGAACTTATAAATATTTATTCACATACTTTCAGCGTAGAGACGGTCCATCAGCCTCCAAGTGAAACTGAATTTGTCTCCTTCTCTTTATCTTTTTCCACTTCACATTCGTCCGTTGCCAGGTGAGGTGAAGACATTTCTGGTTTTTATTACATTACAAGCAAAAGTGCAAAAAAAAATAAAATCGAAAAATCGAAAAGTAAAACCCAAAAGGCTGGACAAGAGCAACGTCACGAAACAAAAGCACAGGGACACAAGCAAACCCAACCAGCGGACTCACTCATACAACCACATGCACACTCGGACTGCGCTCACCTTGGCTTGGCTGAACTTCCTTGACGACAGCCAACTGGTCATTGACGAGCATCGGCGAGCTGAAGTTTCGCTTGAATGCTCCCGACTAATGGAGGGGAGAACAGAGCACAAGGGATTTTATCAGCTGCCATAACTCCTTGTTTATAGACTCAACACGTACCTCAACATATATCTCTTTGTAGTGCTATTTGAGCATTCATACAGAACACGTACAAAATGTAAGTGAAACAATTAACTGGGCTCACTCGCTCCAGGAAAGAACAAAAGAAGCAAAGCCACGTATGAGCTCTCTCTGCTGCCAATCATGAACAATAAATTCACTCAACCACTACTTGTGGCCACATGACTTAGACACAGACACGGACATGTGATTCTCCGTGTGTATGTGTCAGCACGACTGCAATTTCACACCGAATTAAGCACAGTGAGAGTTTCAGCTGAGATATCGGTTTGTCTTTGCCTTGACTTGCAAATGAGCCACTCACTTTGTCATATTATGTTGAAGAGAGAAACACTCAGCGGATCAAAGGCAATAAGTGGCTACCTTTGTTCTCCACAAACACACCCAGATTGTGCTCCGATGATATTTTAGCTTTCGCTGCCCTCATCGTTCCCCTACCTTTCCCCCTCTCTGTTTGTGCACTGCTGTCAAACTGCACTGAGCTCTCTTCAGCACAGCGCTCTTAAAATTTTCCAAGTGGCTCTCAGAAGGTCTCGCCTCCTGCTGCATGCTAATGCCCTCTGCTTTACACTAGAGGATAAACACAAAAGCTGTGTCTGAAATCACTCCCAATTTTCTGCCTAGTGAATCATACTCACCTTCTGCCGTTGTCCTTCAAACAGTCATAATATTACATTTTTCATGATAACAAAAAAAAAAATCCACAGTGTAACATCTAACCGTTACGCCGCAAGTGTGTGAAATACTCTTTATGTAAGCAGTAGTAAAGAAAATTAAATATTGCTAATGATGGCCCTAAAAGGATGGTCCAATGATTAATTGTTTTATTTCAGTAGCATCAGCACTTCACAGCTTCAAAACAGCACTTTTTCTTCTGCCATATGCATCTGTGTTTTTTCAGCAATTTAACTGAAACTGCACATATGGTGAGCAAAAATGACTGCCTGCAGGTCAAGAGTGTTTCAGTGTTTATACGTGTGAGTCTGTTTGTTGATGTAATAACCTAAATGTGTTTGATGTGATACAATACTGATTCATCTGTGGGGTTTTTTTCCTTTCCCATTAACGCTGTACCTAAAGCTATTCTATTGAAAAAATTAAATTAATTGCAGCGCGCACAGGGTTTTGTGGTCAGGTTTTCAATTCATGCTGTGTTGGTAATATGACAAAACAATGATTGGAGTTGTGAAACTGAACATCAGATAACAAATCAGAAAATAAAATGTCAACCTCTTAACAATTTACACATTTTAGTCACTTCTTTGTCGCAAATATGTGAGTATGTTGAAACATGACTCGAAAAAAAATTCCCTAAATGTCTTCTATGTTAATGGGGTCCACAGCATGAACACCTTGCATATTTCCAGTTAACGGGACTCTTGTAGTCCTACGGATCACTCTAGCTTTGCACTCTCCTGCTTTGATTAAGAGAAATAAGGAGATGAAATAAACTGCATATATGGAGGTTGTTTCATTGCCCCTCTGGGCCTCTATGCAGGCCTGTGAAAAACTAAGTAGAGCCCATGATTCAATTGCTTGTGGAACCACCTTAAGCAGCAATAACTTGAAGTAATTGTTTTCCGTATGACTCTATTAGTATCTCGCATCCATGTGGAGAATTTTGTCTCACTCTTCTTTACAGTGTTGCTTCAGTTCATTGAGGTTTGCGGGCATTTGTTTTTCGCACAGCTTTCTTATGGTTCCCTTAAGGTCTGGGCTGTGAATGGGCCACTGGAATGCTTTCGTTCTTTTCTTTTTCAGCATTTCTGTTGTAGATTTGCTGCTGTGCTTGGGATCATTGGGATCATTGCTCTGTTGCGTGACCTAATTTCAGTCAGACAAGTGGGCTCACATTTGACTCTGGAACACTTTGATATACGCGCAAATTCATGGTTGAGTCAATAACTGCAAGGTGCCCAGGTGGCTTCAATGGCTACAAAACAAGCTGTTCACCACCATGCTTGATAGTGGGTTTGTGCTAATATATCCAATATATCAAATATAAGCCATCCTGCCATGTTGATTTTAGAGAGAATAGGCTTTATTGTGGCAATCTTCCAAAGAAGCCATACTTGTTCAGTCTTTTTCTAATTATACTGTCATGGAGTTGAACATTTAATGTGCTAACTGAAGCCTGTAGAGTCTGAGATGTAGTGTTTGTTTTTTTTTCCGATTTTTTAAATTTCTCTTGGAATGAATTTGCCGGATTTGCACTCATTGAAAAATTGCAGCTTTGTTTTAAACCCACCTGAACGTTCCAGACCAGCAAACTGCCAAGACTTCTTTTAAACTGCTTTATGGTGATTATCAGTTAATTAAGTACACTTAGTTTTCCACAGGACTACACAGAGTCCCATGTCGGTGTGTCATCTGGCTGTATGTTAACACATTTATTTCAATGAATCACTGAAATATTTGCTTTCTTGCCAAAAGTGAACACGAGAAGTAATAAGTAGCCATTCTATTCTTGCAATCCAGACACAAACAAAGCCAATGCTACTTTTTTATGTTTCCTATTCATTTCACAGAAGATGGTTTATCATAGCAATAGCCTGGCATGAAGGCTATTGCCTTGGAAAAACGTGAAAGCAACAATCACTTTCCACTGAAGAGTGCTAAATCAGGGACAGAATCAGTTTAAAAGAGTTGAGCAGACCAAAGTGTGCAATTAGTGACTATGCTGAGAGAAACTCTCAATGCTATAAATGAGGGCAACATCAAACTCTTGGTGTGTGTATTTCGCACCTTCCCGTGACACGGCTGCTGCGATAGTTCTGAGGTGCACCACAGGTGAGCAGCCATCTTGCACGTTTTACACCGTAGAGCTTGTTTGGAGTTTCCTGCAGAGTGGGATAAAGAAGAGAGAATGAAAGCAGGGGACACCGACATTGAAGTCACAGAAAGAAAAAGAAATCAGCAGGCGACAGATGTGCACTCGGCAGAAAGTGCTAACAGAACAAAGTGGCCCTTAGATCATATGTGCAGGTTTTTCTCTGTTCAGGTGGAGAATGAAATCAAACCCTGTCCCAGTTTTATCAGGCTGGCACTGCAAACAGAGCTCACACTAACAGCTTCATAATGAACAGCTCTTCTTGCAAAACAACTTAGAGAGATTGGAAAGCAGCTGGACATATTTCAATTATAATCGATTTGACATTGAGTCATTTACGTTTGTATTTTCAAATGTTTGAGAGCTAAAGTCTCCCGAGACTCCAGTTGTTTTCTTCCCATTTGTTATATGTTTAAAAATCCTCTTTTCATGTTTTAGAGATTAAGGAGTTGAGTCCTTATTATCCTAGAAAACAAAGATCACTGATTTCTGAATTTGTCACAGATGGGGATTATATCGACAGGTCTGTATTAGAGCAGAAACAACAAGAAAAATAGCGGTTTTAGAGAGAGAAATAAAATGAGTTTAACAGCTTATGAGAAAGAGGCTACACTTTGTTTCGGGACTGCAGAGGTAAATCTAGAGCGAAGTTATGCGTTACATAAATAAACCTACTAAGGATGCAAAAATAAATTTTCAAAAAACTGCACAGGAGCAAACACGGGGGAGCAGGTTGGAGACTATAATCAATCACAGTGACAGGGAGTAGATTTAGCAGAAATACTAGAAGCTAGTAGCACTTAGAGGTGGCAAATCAGAGACAAAAGCAGTCGCACATCTGCACCAGAGCTGTAGCAAAGTCCAGATCTAATTGAATGACTTAAATCGAGGAGAAAAAAAAGAAGGAAGCAGTGAGGTGAGATTTAAAAACTTCACTTTTCTCAGGAAATCATGATTATTTTGTTTATTTGTACCACTTCAGGTAATTGAGCACCTTAAATATGTTCGTTTTCTGTCTGATATGGAGCTGTATGAGAAGACTGACACCACATTTATAGTCTCTGTGCTTTCAAATATGCAAGGGTCTGCATGGATTTAAGTGAAGTAAATTTAATGGTGAATGGAAAGCTCCACAATTGTCCAGATGCACTTGCCCACTTCCCTACTTCCAACTAGATTTGGAAAAAAAAAGAAGTAAGACCAATTACTTGTCCAAATTTGCTTGCTTGTTCATATGACCAACTCTCTCATCTTTACGGGAAATTGAAAATCACACAAGTGGTGATAAATCATAGGTCCTGAATAATAATTTTACACAAAATTCAAAGTTTTTCATCTAAACTCTTCAGTCTTTAGTTTTCATGAGTAAGTGTATCACCAAAGACCATGTCCAGTGAGAATATCAGGCACCTTACCTACTATCATGTGCTTGCAATGCTGGCAGTTGGTGGGCTTTCGAAAGATGTGGTCCTGGAAACAGTGGGTAATCTGGGGTCGGGGAGGCTTGACGGGGAGTGATGGAGAAAGGCTGAGTGAGGGCGAGTGGGAGGAGATGGAGGGGTTGGGACTGCGAGATGGTGAAATTGATGGTGACCGGTCACCAACAAGTGGGGAGCCAGGCATCAGAGGGGGGGACGGAGGCGGCGGGTCAGTGATGAAATCCTGGGGCAGGCGGGCATCGCTGTAGGACCTTTGGAAGAAGTTCTCCACGCTCTTACTGCGCATCATGGTCTTGAAGGACAATGAGCGTTTTAGTCTCTGGAGCTGCACCCACGGACACACATCGACAGACATGGGGACAAAGAGAATGCATTAAAAATAAACACGAGATAAGCAAGAAGCAATAACAAATGTCCAATGTGCCCTCAAGACAGCACAGGCAATATCCCGGAATCCATAAACACCACACTCTGTTCAGATCAGTACACCTTAGGGAAAGAAGTTGACTCATGTAAAGCAATATCACCTCATAAGGAAACAACACATTAATAAAAGAGCTGCCTGTCCCCTTCTGCGAGATCGAATTCATATTTTTAAAGGGGTGCTTGTGCTTTTGGTTGAACAAGATAAGCTTTTTCTCTTTGAGAACACCCAGCATCTTAGATTGAGCACTGCTGTGCGTATAAATTGTACTCGCTTAGTGGTAGTGACAGAAGGACTCTTGTGATAAAACAAAACAAGAGTTTATTCAGCCCGATCATCTATTAACAACCCATCACCAGGGCCCTTAAAGTGAGCGCCGTGTGGCCACTAAAGAGGCAGTGAGCACAAGTGGTTGAACTCAAACACCAACAACATGTGTGAATACACACAGGTAAAGGGTTATTATGCAGCACCCAGTCTTTTATCACAGAATAATGGTGCTTTATGTACAACGTGTAGTTTGGCATCATGAAAAAAGCAAGGACTACCCTGAAAAGAGCATTGTCTGGATTGTAAGAATAGCTGCTTTAAAGCCTGCACATATTGTATTATTAAGCATCAATATGCAGCAAGGTCCCCCTGTAGATGTGCAAGTTGCCCGTGCCATCGAAGCTAATGGAAACCCATATCAGTACAGATCTTCTGAAGTTCTGTACAAAAGATAAAGAAAGTTGATTAGGAAGATTAGGAAAATGAGAAATAAGTGTGGCAATTCATATCTGCAAATATCTGTAAACATTCATGAAAAATACATGCCAATGCAGTATAGGAGACAAATCCAGATGCTTTAATATTATAACAAGCTTGAAAGTCAGTATGTGGTATGGCCCGAGCTCTAGTTTTCTTGTCATTTCTTTAAGTATTCTTCAGGAAATGTTTCTCTGGGCTTTTTTAAGGACGTTTGAAGCTCTTCTTTGGATGTTGGCTGCCTTTGGTTCCATTCTCACTCAAGACGATCCCACTCTGTTTCAGTAATGTTAATATCCAGGTTCTGGGGAGGCCAATCCATGACTGGTGGTGCTCCAATGTTTGTTTTTCTGTCCAAGTATAGTTTTACTGCATTGGCAGTGTGCATTGGATGCATCTCTCAGGTGCTCTGTCAGGTCTTTGCTTTCTTCAGGACTTTGTGTTCATCTTCTGTAGAAAGCTTTCAGCTTTCTCGGGTTTTTTAAGGACAATCTACACACGAAGCAGAAATATTTCAAATTTTGGCTAATCGCTGTTTGGGAATCACCTTGTTGTTAGAAAAATACAACTTTATGTTTGTCAACATGTCATTTTTAGCATTTTTCATGGACTCAAATAAAGAAATGGAATAAAATTACACGTGTTTTGTAATAGGCTCATAGTAACAAAGTGCCTAAAGATACAATTTAAAATTAGTTCATTGCTAAGTTGTCTGTTATGTCTAGACAACACTGGTTCATACCTTGAGTTTGTGCTTGAATGATTCATAGTTCAGTGTTAAATGGCTTAACAAGTAAAAAACACTCCTATGAAAATGGTCAGGTACTACCACTGGACAAAAAATGATTAAAAAAGCAGCCATGTTTGAAAGGCCGCCAGAAAGCATAGACAGGAAAATTACAGAGTTCAGTTCTTTATAGTGTGCTGTCAACACCATATGTGCTGGATGGTACCTCTCCTCACTAAGGAGGAATGTCTTTTATTTCCAAAAAGAATATCACATTTTGACTGGCCACACAGGAAGACAGGTTTCTTTTTTTGCCTCAGTATAGCTTAAATTCCCCAGAGATGGTTGCAGCATTCCTGGATCATATTTACAATTTATTCTTTGTATGGTAGAGTGTTAACTTGGATTTGTGGATTTGTCTGCCCACACAGCCTTTGCCTGAGTCGTGAACCTCTGCCAATCTTTGCTTCTGAGGCACTCATCCTGGACGCTCCTTTTTATACTCAATCATTTTTCTGTCCGGTTACCAGTTAACTTTTTAACAGCTTTTGCAGGAACACTGTTACATTAGGTGTAATAACCAAACCAGTTCTTTAAGTTCAGTGCATTTCAAAATCTTAAGAGTCAAATGATAAAACATCACATCAACAGGCATCACATCAGTTATCTACAGAATGCCTAGCATTGATTGACTGGACAAATGAATGGCTTCTGACATTTGCCTCCAGCTCTATGTACGGTTGATGATGCTAGTTTCCCAGGGGACGGGCAGACATTTGTTACAATGACATGCGATGGAAGGGGTAACGCTGTGCGAGGGTGTGGTCACGTCTCAAGGAAAGAACGGATGAACACAGACAGACGAGGAGACAGATCATCAGCAGGCTACATACACTCTGCGCACATGCTCTGTCTGTCTGTGCTCATTCTGCTCAGCACCAAACATAATCACTTAACAGGGACATGTTGTTTACAGCTCTGTGAGTCTGGGAATAAGCTATGAAGACAGTTTGTCTATTTGACTGTGTGTCTGTGTGTGTGTGAGGAACACATCGACACAGCGCAAAAGAAACAAAACTGTAGGAGTGTAACTGAATGTACATTTGCACACTCCATATACTTCCTCTATTTGCGAAATTATTTCCCTTCATTCGATTACATTGATGAAGATTAGGTACGCTGTGGACTACTACAATTCATTATATCTCTGTTAGACATCTCTGAGCACCGAAGGGTGTTGTTCTTATCTTTTTTTTTTAGAACTTTGAAATCAAGTACGCCGCGTTGTAACCAACTGCTTCGTTAAATACATATAATCTGGGCAAGGACATTTTGCAGGATTTGCATTTCTTAGCTTCTGGTTGGGGATTTAGGGTTTCTTATTGTAAGCTGAATCGCTGCAAGCGTTCGTTCACCTATTTATGGCAGCTTCTTGACACACAAGTGTTGTTAGCTGCAGGAAATGTGCAGCATGTCTTCTATGATGCTTATAGATGCATGTTCACAGGCGGGCAGCCTGGATGCAGGCAATTAGTGCGTTGGATATGTCCATGTGTTTTCTGGATTTCACTGAACTATGCACCACAGTGATCCTAATGCATGACTTGAAACATTCAGTTTGGGAGATTCAATTCAATTCAATTTTATTTATGCAGCGCCAAATCACAACAACAGCTGCCTCAAGGCGCTTTATATTGTAAAGTAGACCCTCTAATAATACATAGAGGAAAAAAAACAACAATCATATCACCCTCTGTGAGCAAGCACTTTGGTGACACTGGAGAGGAAAAACTCCCTTTTTAACAGGAAGAAACCTCTGGCAGAACCAGGCTTAGGCAGAGGTGGCCATCTGCCCCGACCAGTTGGGGTGAGGGGAGGAAGACAGGACAAAAGACGTGGTGTGGAAGAGAGCCAGAGATTAATAACAAGTAATGATTTATTGCAGAGAAGTCTAAAGCCAGAGATGCCTTTTGCTTTGTTGCGTGTGATCTTATTCTAGTTAGATTAAAAATGTTAAAAAAAAAGTTGTCATGTAAGGATGAACAAGCATCTAATTTATGCTTACCGAATAAATAATGATTAACATCTAATGATCTGTTTCGAATTGCATTAGTAATTCATTTTTTTAATGAGGGGTAAAATAAATTTGGTGTTGAAGCAGGTACAGCAAAACCCACATGTTTGCAACCTGGTAATATTTTCTCAGTAATGACTTAGTAATGATTAACAAAATGATTCATGAAACATTACGACTTATAAAGTATATAATAGGGTGGAATATATTTTTAATGATGTTAACAGTACAAAGTTGTTTTGACCTCATGTTTTATGTGCAGCATCACAGCCTTGAGCAGAGCTCTTTCAATCAGAGTGGCTGAGTGCTGGCATAACAGCTCCAGCTATAGAGCACATGTCTCAATTACAGCTAATCTAATCATCTGTCAGTGCGCGGGCCTGAAAAACATTCCCGTTTTCTTCCATTTGAACATTATCTGAAAGAATAATCCTTCTGACTCAAGGCCGATGTGACATCAAGTATGATGTGCGGCTTCACTGCACATTCATGTGCACCACCGCATAATCAGGTGAGATGCTGATATCGATGAGTCAGAAGCGACATATGCCACACTTTAGTCCCAGATTTATCGCTGATTATTTATCGATTATTCGTTTTGTGAAAATCCCTGTGACCTGCAACGGGACCTGCCTCAGTCTTCTGTCACTTCTTCCCCAACTGCACTTCTCCAAGTAATACTCAACCCGTTTCAGCTTAAAAAAACGCATTTGGGTCAAGTCTTGCCTGCTAATGTTCCTCCCTCAACTTTTTTTGTGACTCATGCATAACAAATAATGTGATGCAAAATGCAAAATATTGCACAGATTTACACACAGCTGCAGAGTCAGTCTTCTTTGAGCAGCTCCTATCTCACTGCTGCACAGCAGACTGACGAGCTGTCTCAGCAGACCTGTAAAAGCCCATAATTTTCACATCTTCGATCCGTATTACAACAGACCTCTGCCTTCCTCACATGTTGCCAGCATAACAAAATCAATTCTCCACAGCGGAACAGCGAGGATTGACTGGTCATAATTCAATGATAAGACTTTTATGTCACTCGAATGTGGTTCTACCGCCATCAAAATTTAATGGGGCCAGTCTGAGATATTTATGGGATGCTCCAGTCTGCCCAGAGGTCAAGACTCAACAACAAAGCCTTTGTCCCACTGGGAATATGAGGATAATATAGGCACTCTGGAATTTGGTGAGATGGTCTGGGTGGGGCCTGCATCACATGTTTTCAGTGTTTAGAAATGTAACACCAGTAGGATTACTATAAGTCAAAACTCTATAGGTGTGCATAGGTGGGGGGTGGGGGGATGGGGGGGGGGCTATTTTTTTTACTTATTCCCTTTCTTCCCCATAACTCCTGAAGTGTGCCAATTTTCTGCTCTGCCATCAGCAGTAGTAAAGAGAACGTGCTGCACAGATTGGAAAAAACAGTTACTGCAACTGATCTTTGCCTCAAGTCAAAACCAGTATTCAAGTCCATATGACCTGAAATCAATATTTTAATTTGCCTACCCTTGAATTTCCACTTTAATCACTCCAGCTTGTTGCGCTAAAAAAAACGAGGTACATTTTTTTTCTTTTTTTTGCAATGATACACGTCATAGTGACTGACCTTGTTCTAAGTGAGGAGATTTCAGCCTTAAGAAGGATAACCGAGTTATAACTGCGCTCTGAAAGACACAGTCTCCTGGCTCCCTCCAATTCTAGGTCATCAGCAGAATATGTCATTTCAGAGGAAACTGTCACCATCAAATACCAGGTACATGGATTTCAGCATATAATTATTTTTCACTGTGTGGCTTCAACTCTTCTCCGACAGTTGTAACCGAACAAACGAAGAAGATTTTATTAAAGGGAAACACAACAGCGGAAAGAAAAAAATCACATAGAATTAAAAATATGAGCGAGCAGCTGTATTTATGATTACAAGGAGCACATGTGGAGTGGTTTTATGTCCCAAGATTTCTCAGGTTGGTCAAAATGTCTTATTATGCATGGCATCCTGGCAAATTCCTGCTCTCAGTGCATGAGAAAAGATGCATAATCACAGGCTGCCTCCTACGTTCTGCTACTATCACACATGCATGTACGCACCGTCAATCATTTACACACACACACACACACACACAATCACTTTCAAGGACTGTTTAACAGCAGAGATGATCTCTGAGGAATAGCAGTATGGAGTATCTTTTGTGCTCCTGTAGATTTCTAGTGTCCAGTATTTCAGCATCTCACACTTTTCCTTGTAGTGTCACATTAATAAACATCACAGCAGTGAAGGTGTTACACTGATTAAAAAAGACCTTGGCCCACTTCAGCTTCCTGATTTGACTTACTTACCTGCTCACATCTATCTGATCTGTGTCATACCCCCTTCATCTGAAGAAAAAGCCAAAAGTGTGAGCGTCATTTTAAAGATGTTTGTACATCCGAAATGTCAGCAAAAACACCAGAAATCATGCACCTGCTAGATGATTAGGAAGAGTTCAACCTGAATGGCAGTAATGACTATGGCCTGTGTGAACATGAGCAGGTGCACATGATAAAACCTGCTTGCTTTATGACAAATGATGACTGCTGTATCCATCAAAAGTGATGCAGTGAAATGTTCTCTCCCATTCGATGCTGTCTTCACAGCAACCACCCCTTTATCCTTAAATGAATTAAAAGAGATGTCGATAAAGACGGTGCTTTTTCTTAGAACCATCGACATTACATAGGTGTTCATTACCACCTGGGTTAAAAACCCTAATCCATTTTCTTTTAGTCTGACCATAAAGTTTGCGGTTTGGGTGGTAATTTCAGCTAAATGTCTCAATAGTTTTTTTTATGGATTGAAATTTGGCACAACTTTAATTTTTTCCATCAGGATACATTGGTGACTAATAATGTAGTAGCACCATTAATAGATCCTACTGCACTTCTGTTTAGTGCTGCTTCAGTACCACTGCTGAATTTAGCAAATAGTGCTTAACGTGCAGGCTTGCATCACCTTTTTGAGTGTACCAGTTTTTACACAACCACTAGCTAGACTGGAGGCTCTATTTCTTTCTTTCTTTTATTATTATTTTGGTTTTAAATACTGCTTTAATTACAATCCTGATGAGTCTGATATTACAACTAACTGGTTGTAATTTAATCAAGACAAAGACTATTTAATCAAGACTATTTTAGTATAAGAACACATAATAGGCTACTATTTATTTATATTCGGGGCGACCGTGGCTCAGGGGGTTGGGAAGCGCATCTGTAACCGGAAGGTCGCCGGTTCGATCCCTGGGCTCTCTGTCCTGGTCGTTGTGTCCTTGGCAAGACACTTTACCCTACCGCCTACTGGTGTTGGCCAGAGGGGCCAATGGCGCAATATGGCAGCCTCGCCTCTGTCAGTCTGCCCCAGGGCAGCTGTGGCTACAACTGTAGCTTGCCTCCACCAGTGTGTGAATGTGAGAGTGAATGAATAGTGGCATTGTAAGGCGCTTTGGGTGCCTTGACAAGCGCTATATAAATCCAATCCATTATTATTACTGTTTAAAGCACACTTCCTGGTTGTCTGTTCCCAGTTGATGTTTTGGACAAAGTGAAAACAAGGTGATACAGCTCAGCCTTGTTAAACTGCCTTTTCCTGAATAGCCAAAAGAAAAAAAAAGTTTTTTGGATGTGTCAACATAAAAAGAAAGCCAAAAACATAAATTTGAATGTAAGCTCTTTAAGATTAATTGTAACTTAGCTTTGAAACTCAGACACTTCAGCTTCACTGTAGGGAATGCCAGTCAGCTTTCATCTCTCAGTCAGCTGCGTATGTGTGTGTGTTGTGCGCTCACATCCATTTAAGAGGGTTTAATGAAGAATGCAAAGTGGACACACGGATGGATTGTGGGAGTTGTCATTACTCAGCGGGCAAGCTGACAAACAAGTATATCAACCAAAAACATGTTTACGCCTTTATATCTCTGCGCTCAGACATCATCCTGTGTGTTCATCCAGGAGAGAAGATGTTTACCTGTGCACCTCGATCACAGAAAAAGCTCCCAAAGCATCAACAGCCCAGAGAGATCAAACTGCTCTGCACAAAAAGAGCAACACTATAGGCTGATGACTGCTACTTGGGCATCTAATTGGCTCCACCACTCACATTTCTGCCAGGCTTGGCAATACACTACAGATTATTGTTGGGAGCTGGAGAGAGAGACTGCGCTTCCTCTTCTCATAATCTTCTGGCACTGTTTTCCTCTGTTCTTGATTTATGATATCCATCTTGGGGGGAATTTGCTGCTGGTGGATTTTGGGGAGCATCTGTTACCTCTTTCGTTTCCTCCCCGTCATTGTTGTCTAATAAAAACCATCACGGACACATGACTATGTGTCTGATTAGATTCTTTCAAAAATGTCACCCTGTAGCTGTGTATTTTTATGTGAGGAATGGCCTCCAGAGCCAAGCTGACAAAAACTCTAGTATTGTACTTATGGTTGCATTTTTACTTTAACACTTCAAAGGCCAGGTATTTAATTAATTCGAAAGGATGAGTTCCTCTAGCATAAAGTTTGAAGGTTAATTTTGAATCTATCCCACACAGAGAACTCAATAGATTGAAAGACCAAAGCCAGATGATCAAACTGATGGGTTTTTTTTTATTATAGAGGGCTGTGACATGATGAAGCCAGAGCGAAGCGGTGAATCGTTTGAATACCAATCAGTCCAGCTTGGAACAGGCTCACGCCCAGTTTTCACCAGTAGCAGCTGGTGAGAAGAGGAGAGCTGGAGTAGAACGCCTGGAGTAAGTGGTGTTAAAATGGCTTGTAACAACGCCAGCTTGTATGCTTTCAAAGAGGACATCAAACATTTAGATGAAGCACAGAGGCAGTCTGAGGCTGGTGAAGTATGTGACTGTGCTGCACGGAGTGTCACTTTCCTCCAAACATGTCAGCAGCGTGCATGTGTTTGTGTGTGGGTGGCATAAAGAGTCATAGGGTAGATTTGACTTAAGGAAAGTTGTATCAAGCCGGTTGGTCTTATGTGTCCTTCCATTAAGAAGCAGACATTGGGAAAGCTTCCACAGCTTGGAGGGCAGCCCTTGAAATCTTTGTTTATATAGCTGAGTGAACAAATTAAATGGATTCATAAAGACACTCTGAAAGGGCATTTGTATCTTAGACATGCACACTAGTAGCTGTGTTTAAGACAGACACAAAATTCACATAAGCAAATGCAGCGTCTTATTTATTGCAATATAAACTTGCTACCAGCATAGAAGAAACAGCGTGAGTGGAGTGCTGAAATGTCCGCAAAAAAACTGTAGCTCATCAAAAAAGAAGCAAATTAAAATAACAAATAGACAAAAGCATTAAACACTTCCATTATTACATGTTTGTTTTGCTGCCTAATAGTCATTAAAAACACACACTTGAACCCTTTTGTGTGCGCCTGCTTCTGATGGATTTTGACAGAAAGAGAGACACGGGGAGACAGTATGACATCACACCTTACGTGTGAGGTTACACCTATAGTGACGCAGTCGTGATGAATACTACTGCAATTGTGTTGTTATTAGTATTACATAAACGGTGAAAATGCGGGTGGAGAAAACCATCAAAGGGGAAGAATACACTTCAAATGAATAAAATAAGTCTTCTTATTAATAGTTCAGTCTGTGCATTTAACTACTCAGCAAACTCACTTATATCTACTGATACTGTTCTTTTTCGATTCGTTAGACACAAATACGTGTATGTTATGATCTGTATGGCATCTGAACAAGAACCAAACTCAAAATTTAGGTACTTGCCTTGGAAGTCATTGGTTGGATGGGCATATTGCTTGGAGAGCGCTGGAGCTCCGAGTCGCACTCCATCTCATTGTTTTCGGTCATAATTGGTGTCGAAGTGGGAAGCGTCGTTCGAGACACAAACAGTAAAAGTTTTAACTCCTCAAATAGAGTCCAGTCGGAAGAAGATTTCCGGCTTTAGCCATTTAAAAGACTGACAAAGTGTGACAGATCCACATCAGAGGGATTTGTGCGCGCCTCAGGGCCACCGACTCCACAAAACACGTTTCTGGATTTATTAGGATCTGTGAGAACAGGTTATAAATTCACCAGCTGTTAATATCTCATTTATGCCACGTGAGGATGGGCATTCAGGAAACGGCTGAACCTTGCGTGTGGGTAGTCTTTTATGTCGCTCGCTGACGCGCACCGGAAAGCTCCAATATGGCACAATTCCTCCGTCCTCCAGGTGCAAAAACGGCTCAAATCAGCAAAAATGTCGCTGTGTGAATATGAGAATGTCAGCGAAATAGAATCATATCCAAATCGTCCTCAGCTTGTGTTCTGGAGGAACTCGCTATGTGTAAATCCAAAGCGAACTGTGTCCTTCACCGCTGCACAGACTTAAATTTAAGCGCAATCTGAGGCACGCCTTTCCATGCGTCTGAGGCGCATGATTGGGGCATTTTTATTTTTTACAACTCTACCGGGATTCATTTAGTCTAAATCAAGACTGACGGCCACGGGCGGAAGCTTATTCAAAACCCAAATATACATTAGCTTAAAATTTTCTCTGTTCTGGAGTAAAAGCAAGAGCAGCACTTCATTCTGCTGCTCGGATTTTGCGTCTTGAGTGTGTGTGTGTGTCAGTGTCAGAGCTGCTGTTTAATTCTATGCGCCTCCATGGTGCAGCCATAGACGCGTAGTTACAAATAGTAAGTGTGATTACATACAGTAACTCACAGACACGGATATCTTAAAAAATATATTATGATTTTAAGGCTATACATTAGATAGACATGCAAAAGGGAATTAAGAAGCCACAAGAACACACAAGACACTAGAGAGCCTTCTGCTGCTTGATTAAGCAGTGAATCAGAGCAGGCATCTTCCTCTTCAGAAGAAGAGTAATGAGTATAGGCTGAGCTGTGTTAGTTAGAATTATTCAGAGTTTTAGAGAAACTATAATGAGACAATTTGGTTCTGTTATCATCCATTCCTCTTCATTTTCTGCCTGCACCCTACAGAAGTGAATACTGAAAGTGTGGCTACCAGCTGCTGCCCCACAGAATTAAAGCTTAATTTAAAGTGGCACCAGTATTGCTACCTGCTTTTAAATGCAATCTCATTTCCTACCTGGTTTAATCAGCGTTCTGGGACAAGTTCCTATTGCTTGTCTCCTTTATAAAACACGCAGGTGACAGACAGGGTGGGTTAAATAATAATGGCATTTTAAAAGGAGTTCAATGCTCATATTAACAGAATGGCATGGAGAAGGACTTCTAAATTTGATTCAAGTTTTTTTTCCTTCTTCTGTCTGCAAAGCGTTTTTTCTCCAAAGGCTGACATCAAAGTTTCCTGTCAGAAAGTCTTTGGGCGGGGGTGTGCTAGAGAATGGAGGAAGAAGAAAGGCTAAGAGAGGAAGCCTCTGTTATCACATTCATTATTGCTTCACTCAGAGCCAGAGAACAGCACACAACAGAGTGACTGCTGGAAGTATTTAAAAAAGAGAAACCCAAAACAAAAAACCATTCAGTTTTCTAGTGTATTGCAGTGTCTGCTGTTAAAAATAAGCTTAAGTTAAATATCTCGGTGCAGTGTTGTGCTATGAGCTGTGATCTGATCCAACAATGTTTGAACTCAGAACAGCTGAGAGAGCTGAATGAGGGAAACACACACACTCATTTCAATTTTCCCCTCAAAGCTACTCACCTTTCATCCTCCATGTGATACCCCAGGTGCCAGAACACGCCCCGGCTAAAAACGAACATTAAAACGGAGTGAAAACACATTTGATCTCTTACTGATTTAGACACATGAGGAAACAATGGGAAGATGAGAGGAACAAAATGAGTCCCATGCGGCGGAGGACAGATCCCAGTCCTGACAGCGGTCGTCATGGTGCAGCTACAGGACCAGGGCTGCAGCTCTTTCCATCGCATTAAATTGATACAGATTGTTCATCTGCTCCTCCACCTCAGACATCTGAATGTAAGTGTAAACAAACATAGCTGCATGACTTTGCATGCAGTATGTTGTGAGCTCACATTTGAACCCACAGTCACCAATGTGACAATGTTTTTCACTATACCCAACTGCTTATCTGCATTTGTGATTAAAATACTTTTATAATAAGCTCGATCTAGAATAAAGGATACAATCAGACCTTTTTAAAGTCTGTCACTGACTTTGAGGCTCTGGTAGCCTGACCTACGTCTTCAGATAACTGTTTTTTTAATATATTGTAGAAATGTTATTGTAGACACGTTAAGAAATGGATTTGCTCATCCCTTAACAGCCCGAGGAGTTACATGTATATATGAATACCTGACAAATTAATTAAGGCATACAGGAAGGACTTATGTCTTTGGATTCATCTCTAGTCACACTAACATTACAAGAAATCAAGAAATAAATTTAGACATGTATTAATGCTATGCTAAACACAAAAAATATTGTTCATATTTCAAATGTTTGTTTTTTGCTGTAAGGCTTTTCCATGTTTGGAAGAGACTTTAGGGCACGTCATGTTAGGAGTGCAGGGGTATTGGTAGATATTTAAAAATCAGAGAAAGATTCATTTTATTTCAGTTTCAGGGTTTTTGTGCATTTTGGCTCACGATTTCCATTCCGATTGAAATCAATACCACCTGCATTTTTCCTTTACGACAGCCACATTTACTTCCATTTGACACATAGCTGAAGAAAAAAAAAAAGAATTACAAAAAATTATATTAATAATAATTATATATTCCAGTCTGGGACTTCTAGTTTAACCAGTTTTCTTCCTAACTGAAGCAAGTCAATTACTTATTGAATAGCTGATTCAGAACTGGATCCTGAAATGAGCTGAGAGCTGAAATCATAGCAGCAGAGAGGAGAGTGGCTCATTGGTGCCATCTACTGCTGCAATGATAAACCACCATTAACCACAAAGTGAGAACAAGGTCCAAACAACTCTTAATAATATAGGTATATATTTATTCATACGTACATATTCATTTATAATCGGTTAATTGTAAAAAAAGAAAAAAAAAGAAAAAAGAGATTTACAGTAATTTAACTACAGTCATTGTCAAAACTTTTTTTTTGTTTAAATATCTCAGGTGCCAATCTACCCTGAACACACACTTGTAAGTTCACCTGTTGCCCTCTGCCTCTGTCCTTATCCACAACCTTACTCCAGTGTTTAGGATCAAACAAACGGACCCAGAGCGTAACAGCTCGACTTCTGTGTAAACTGGTGGAAGATCTGACACACGCACACACACAAGGTGTTTTGTTACTGTAAGGGAAAATAAGTCTGGTGTTTTGCTGTGTAGAGCCTGTAGTGTATTTCTGTACCATGAAAAAAGAAGGAAAAAAACAAACAAAAAAACAAAACAACAGGTGACAAGTCATTTCTTTTGTACATATATAAATCCTTCAGGAGCAAGTTGAGTACTATTAGTTGTAGTCCATGTTGTCGGCATGCGTTTATGACTTAGCCGGTGCACGACGAGGACAAGCAGGTTTGACATCCCAGCTCACAGACTAGATTCCCTGACTTTCTTTTTCCTTGAGTTAACTGTCTTAAAACCAGAGCACAGTGACAGAGCGCATTACATTACTCCACCATTTTTGACTCTTGGTTCTTCTCTAATCCCCCATAAACCCCATTCAAACAAAACAGATCAGACTGGATTACACTGGATTCATCTCGGCTTGTATTATCCTGCTTGTCATAGCTGTCAAATCGCACGCAGACACACCGAACAGAATCATCACTCTGCGTTTTGGGTGATAGATGCCTGTTGCTGAGCACATCACAACCAAAGCACAGGGACATTTGCAGGTAATCAAAATTTTGCAGTGAGTTTTCCTGTTTTTGTTGTATTGAAGCATTTGGATAGGTGCATTATGGGACGGATCCCATTTGGAACAGCAAGGCATAAAAATGAAGAAGAGAAAAAGCACACTTAACGGGGGGGAAAAAGAAAATCTTTCCGTCCTTCTCCTTGATGGAAACATTCAATAAGCAGACCATACGTCATACATACACGTCATTGTGACCGTTAGCCCTAGATTAAAAAAAATAAAAAGAAATCTGACTCACATTTAACATTTCAAACAATTGCACTGGTGCGAACACTTCTCCTGGACAAAGACTACACTCTGGACATTAACTAACAATAAACTCTGGATAAAAACAAACTCCATCAGATCAAAACTAAGGACTGGAAGAGGGCTCAAACTCAACTTGGAGACACTGAACTTGTGACTTCAAACACAAACAGGCAGAATCCAAACCACAGCAAAACAGAAAAACAAAGAAAGCTCCAGAGGAAAATCGTGTAGAGGAGAAAAGCAGTAAAAGACACATTTATAAAATGAAAAGGGAACAGAAGATCATGAATGAAGCCGGTGCAAGTGTAGGACAAGATAATCCATAAGAAAAGGCGCCAATACTTTAAAGGGCAGGGGAGGGGGCTGAAGTCCATTATAGCCCTCTTTTGTGACAAAAATCATTCCATCATATCTGTCAGCAGGCCAGAGCTGTGCGCTCAAGATTCAGTCAACTTCCTCCACCAGTCTGATCTGGTTGTAACCTCCTGCAGCATCACTGGTCCCAGACAGACGGAGGAGGTCACAGGTGGCAGGGTGCAGCACACTATCACTCCGTCCCCTGCAAGGCCTCATAGAAGTTGAGGAGTCGCAGATGCCACTCCAACATCAAGCACATCCTTTCGCCACTGCGTGGGGTTCACCAGTTCCTCGTCATTGGAACCATCAAGGACTTGAAAACAAGGTCGACTTAATGAAATCAAACTAACTGAAAATAGCTTTACTTTGATTGTTTTCAGTTGGCTTTTTCTTTCCATTGTCCTGGTCTGACACCATGAATTAATGCGGTCGGACCTTTTTTGTTGACAAAAGAGAAAAGAAAAAAAAAAAAAAGTATCTTTTTAACGTCTTCTTTTGTTGACATGAGCCTTCACATGCCAGCATCAGTTTGTCTCACTCCATATCGAGTACTGGGTCTTTTTTTTTTTACTCTCCAAAAGCTCCAGCACATATTCTCACGCACATCTGCACGTAAACAAGCATGCTCGAGACTCCTCAGAAAGACTCATCGACGGTAATTTCTGCCCCGTCTCAAATCATCATGTTGCTGCTTATCTGGCTTCAACTCTCTGACTCCCGCAGTCCTCACGTATTTACATTGAGATTTTAAAAAACTAGAGGTGTTACATGCAACATTTGGCATCTTCTCAAGTCCCCACTTGTAAGCCTTAATTGTCAATTTTTAGAAAAATATTCAACTTTGTCTTCTTTTTTTATTTTTCCTCTGCACTATATTGAAGCTTCTGATTGTAACAGAGAGAGACAGAGAGAGGTGAGGGCATATTCGCTGCAAGCGCAGTGTATGCGTTAATTGAAGATTTTTTTTTTTTTTTTTATTTATGTGTGTGTGTTGTTAGTTGTTAGTAGTCTTCAATTTTGAGATGCCGGTTTTGTAAAGTGTCTCATCATTGCTTTATTGTAAGTGCAAATAGCTGCAAGTATTCTTAATAAAATAACATTAAAAAAAAAATCAAAGTTTCTGCTGCATTCTTGTGGGGATGTTGGCAGTTAGGTGGCTACATCGCTGCCCCTCTTTTGAAATAAACAGCCTGTAGAACCAAGCGAACACTGGTCGTACTCAAGTGCAGTTCCCGTCTAGAGGTAGCTGTTGAGTTGACCTTTAAACACTAAGGGAATTGTGTTTGGGAGTTTGAGTGGAATCTTTCAGCCATGTTTAAAAGCTCAAAGTGCTTGATAAGTAAAAAGCTGTAATGGTTTCCCGTTTGAAGATTCGTTAGAATTTTTTGTTGTACTTCATTTGATGACGAGTTAAATCCCTTAATGGTGATAACATTTTTTAAAACATAAAACGTCTTTGTAATACTGGTGTGTCCACTGAACACAGCCCAGGAATGTCCTCCAAAAGTTAATCTGTGTAAATGTGTCTCTTCACTTGAGCTTGTATTAAAGCCTGTTGTATATGTTCTGTTTGTGTGCAGTGGTAAGATTTAAGAACGTTTTGGGGAAAGTTACCCAAGACCCTGTAGTGTTGTTTGGCTCTCTCCCTCTCTCTGCAGCTCCAAAAGGGGGACACACCAGCATGTAGTCTGTGACAAGGGGCCAGGAGTGGTGGGGAGGGGAGCAGGTCAGGGGTCAAGTGACTGGCTGCAGGGAGCATGTACGAGGGACACAGCGAGAGGGAAGAGGGGGCTGTTCGCTTTACATCATAGCAGGACACAGCAGCGGCAAAACCTCTGACGGCTGCCCCCGACTGAGGGGGGTGGAGTGACAGGAGCGAAGTATGCATGCACTTTGATGTTAGGCAGATGAGTCTGTAGTAAAAAAAACACAAACGAGAGAGAAACAGATGGAAATGTATTAATCGCTCGTACAAATATGTGGAAAGCTGTTCTGGGACATTTAGTACACCAGTAGCTATAGCTTTGCTGCAAACCTCAAGTTTATTTTTGTTTCATTGTTCAAAAACAATGTCAAACTGCTGTCGACACAGCTATGTCTGATTTTTATTCAAATTCAAAGACTAACATAGGATTCAGTGAAGTCTGACTTGATCTGGACAGAGTGTTCACTCACTGCTGTCAAGGAGACCGTTTGTTTTTCACAGCTTAAGTTTTGATTCATCACTTCATGTGGGTGGATCGATGACTCAGACAGAGTTTCATTTGGACAAAATGCATGAATCTGTGTTGTCTGATTCCACCCTCTGCATTACATCTATACTTAGTGATCACGCTGATGAGGAGGAAAGGTTAGAGAGCACCACTCTAACCTCCTACATCAATAGTGATAGTAGTTTGCATTTTCAGCATTCTTCTGTAAAAGGACAAATGGCTTGACTGACAAAGCAACTCTAAGAATGCAATACCTTTGTGTTAGTGTTTGTGCTCTTGCTACACAGCATTGTTTAAAAAGGTAAACAACATCCATAGTGGTTTCACACAAGAACTCTGGACAATGTCGGGAGAATCAAGTCCAGACATTGTCTTTAGTTGTCCCTTTCCTTATACATTACACACGACAGGAGTTGTCTGTTTTACTTGTTACCACTACTTGAAATATTCTGTAGGCTTTTTACAAAGCCTGGTGCCTGGGTAGAGCATACACCAGTGTCAAAACTCAACACACAGGTTAACATGAAGATCACACAAACTTTGTGCTAGGTAGTTAAATGTCTGCTCTAGCTGAGACAGACATTTGGATTTTAACAAATGGTCATGTGGAGAATTTTTTTTTTTTTTTGTAAAAACAAACAAACAAAAAAAACAATCCTGTAAAAAAAACTACACACCCATCCCATGATTCACTAAATTGTTGAACCGTCTTTAGTAGCAATAAACTGAATCAGTTATTTTCAAGATGACTTTATTCATCTCTAACATTGCTGAGGAGGAATGTTGGAGGAGGAACGTCCCACCCTTCTTTACAACACTTTTTTATGCACAGCTCGCTTAAAGTACGGCCACAGCACTTCAGTCAGGCTTACGTCTGGACTTTGGCTGTGCCTTTGCAACACCTTGATTCTTTTCTTTTTCAGCCATTCTGTGGTAGACTTGCTGCTGTGCTTGGGATCATTGTCCTGCTGCATGACCCAGTTTCAGCTCAGAGTTAGCTTTTGGACAGATGGCCTCACATTTGACTCTAGAATATGTTGGTATACAGAGGAGTTCATGGTCAACTCAATGGTTGCAAGGTGCCCAGATCCTGTGGCTGCAAAATGTTTAAAAGTTAGATACTACTAATATGCAGTACTTTGTTTCCACCATACATGCTCACGCTGATCTTATCTGAAATTCTTCCAGATGCCTTGTGATTTATTCAGATGCAAATCTGCAAACCTAAGCCGTGCTGCCTATTTTTAGAGAGAAAGGCTTTCTACTGGCAAACCTTCCAAACAAGCCATGTCTGTTTAGTGTTTTTTTATTTCTGCCCAATTGTCCTGTCATGAACATTTAAAATGCTTACTGAGACCTGCAGTGTCTGAAATCTAGTGCTTGGGTTTTCTTTGCATCGTGTGATCTTAGTGAAAATTGACTGGAACGCCACTCCTGGAAATACCATGAAACATCACTATGAACTCTACTATGAACAGTGTTGGGAAGGTTACTTTTAAAATGTATTCCATTACAGAATACAGAATACATGTCCCAAAATGTATTCTGTAACGTATTCCGTTACGTTACTCAATGAG